CCGCTCAAATCAGTAAATGACAAAGAGGGTACCGCCGAGTTCCTCGAAGTTAAAATTGGGACTGCCGCCGAGCTCCCACCGTAGGTAGATTGAAGCCTTAAAATCAGCCAAGCTTGATAGAGAGCCTCCATCGAGCCGCTCAAATTAGTGAATGACAACGAGGGTACCACCGAGTTCCTCGAAGTCAAAATCGGGACTGCCGTTGAGCTCCCATCGTAGGCCAGCTGAAGCCTTAAAATCAGCCAAGCTTGATCGAGAGCTGTCATCGAGCCTCTCAAATCAGTGAATGACAACAAGGGTATCGCCGAGTTCTTCGAAGTCAAAATCGGGATTGCCGTCGAGCTCCCACCATAGGTCAGCTGAAGCCCTAAATGTTAGTCCAGCTTGGAAAGTAGTCATGGATCTTTGAGATGAATGACAGTGGTAAGTTTCTCAACCTCACCACCCAGATATGGCATAATTCTCTGACCATTCATCATCCAAGATCTTCTAGAATTTGGTTCTTCCAACTCCATTGCCCCAGAAGGTATAGCTGATTTCATCACAAAGGGGCCTGACCATTTGGACTTGAACTTTCCAGGGAATAATCTCAGCCTAGAATTTAACAATAATGCTTGTTGGCCTGGTTGGAAATTTCTCTGCACAATTTTCTTGTCATGGTAGGACTTCACCTTACTCTTGTAAATTTTTGAGGAGTCATAAGCCTGCAAACGCATTTCTTCAAGTTCATGTAATTGAAGTTTCCTCTTTTCACTTGCAGTTTTCATATCAAATAAATTTAATGACTTCTCTACTGGTGTGGCTAATGAAAATTTTCTTTCAGATTCCAAACACACTTCATCCATCACATCCACTCTAAAACAATCTTTCTTGTCATTTGGGTGTTTCATAGCTTCAAAAATATTAAAATTCACCTCATCACCATGCACCCTGACCTTGAGTTTGCCATCATCAACATCTATAATGACCTTAGCTGTCTTCATGAATGGCCGACCCAGAATGAGAGGAACCTCAGAATCCTCTTCCATGTCCATGACAACAAAATCAACTGGAAACCAAAATTTATCAACCTTAACCAAGAGGTCTTCAACAATACCATGAGGGTACTTAATAGATCTATCAGCCAGCTGCAGAGTCATCTTAGTAGGTTTCACCTCCACATCACCTATCCTCTGTAACATAGATAAGGGCATAAGATTGATGCTAGCCCCTAAATCCAATAATGCCTTGCCCACAGAGAGATTGCCAATGGTGACTAGCAAAGTGAAACTCCCTGGGTCTCTAGATTTTTGTGGAAGTGACTTTTGAATTATAGCACTGCAACCTGCCTCTAATTCCACTGTTTCATCTTCACTCAATTTTCTCTTCTTTGTCAGAAGCTCCTTCATAAATCTTGCATAAGATGGCATTTGTTCCAAGGCCTCTGCAAAGGGTATGTTGATCTGTAACCTCTTGATTATATCAAGGAACCTTGCAAATTGGCGTTCCTTGTCTTTCTTTGACGGAGCATGTGGGTAAGGTAGATTCTTCACAGGAGGAGGCCTACTAACTTCTCTCCCTTTCTTCTTGCTCTCCTCCTTCACATCTCCATCTCTGCTCTCATTCTTCTCACTCTCTTTTTTATTTTTCTCATTTTTTTCTGCCTCTTTATTCACCTCCACCTCTTTCTCACTTTTCAACTCAACTCCACTCTTATCTTCATCCACTCCATCTTTATTTTCTCTCAAATTATCACCAATCCCCTTTCCTATCACAGTCCCTCTCCTGGTTGTGATTAACTGACAATACTCTTTAGGATTGACCTGTGTATTGGCTGAAAAATTATTGCTTTGCTGCTCTGCCAACTGCTTAGCCAACTGCCCTATTTGTACTTCTAGATTTCTGATAGAAGCTTCAGTATTTTTTTGATTGGTTGTGGAAACCTGGATAAACTGTGTAAGAGCTTCCTCCATTTTTGATAGCCTATCTAGCTGATAAGAAGATTGATTTTGATATGGCTTCTGAGGAGGTTGCCTTTGTGATGGCCTTGCTTCTTGCTTCCACTCAGAATACTGGTTTTGATTATTCCTCCAGCCTTGATCCTGATTATAATTGCTAGAGAAATTCCCTTGCCTTCCTGGATTATTCATGTAATTCACTTCTTCCTCCTGTTCTGATTCAGAGATAGTGCAATGTCCATTTGGATGATCACCTGCACAAAAATCACATCTCATTACCTGTTGTGGACGTGAAGATGATCCTACTTGAAGTTTGGACATTTGCTTCTTTAACTCTTCCATCTGCTGAGAAAGAAGCTTATTCTGGGCTAGAATTGCATTCTGAGTATCCAGCTCTAGAATTCCCCTTTTTGTAGGCTGGCTCCTATCATGGTGAGCTTGGTAATCGTTGGCTGCCAAAACATCAATAATAGTGATTGCTTCCTTAGAATCCTTCATCATCATTGAACCACCTGCAGAAGCATCCAATAGCATCTTAGTCTGTGGTCTTAACCCATTACAGAACATGTTGAGTTGTGCCACATCATCAAACCCATGATTTGGGCATTTCCTCAGCAAGGATTTATATCTCTCCCAAGCTTCACATAAAGGCTCATCAGCACCTTGAGAGAATGTTGCAATTGTTGATTTGGCACTTATATATCTAGAAGGAGGAAAGAATCTTGCCAAGAACTTCCTTTCTACATCCTCCCATCTAGTTAAGCTCTGATTCGGATGTGCCTGCAACCATGTGTTGGCCTTACCTGTCAAAGAGAAGGGAAATAATCGCAAATAAACTGCTTCTTCATCTTCTCCAGGTATACCCATAGTACCAATAAGCTCATAGAAAGTAGACAGATGTGTGTAAGGATCTTCATGGTCCATCCCTGCAAATTGATTGGCAGTAATGAGAGATAGTAATGCTAGTTTGATCTCCACCCCCTTGGTTGGCCTTGCTATACTGGAAAAATGCCTAGGACCCAACTGATGATTGTATTCTCCAAGGAGTCTCCTTGGCTGATGATGAGGTCTATCACCGCCTGGTCCTTCTTCAGCCATTGATTCAGGAATAAAATGTTGAGCTGAAACTGAAGTGGAAGTACCCTCCATTTCTTGTCTCTCCTGTTCAAGCTTCCTTTATCGCCTTCTTCTGCTATTATTTTTCCTAGCTGTTTTCTCAATCTCTGGATCAAATAGCAACTACTCAGGAGGTCCATAAATATTATATATAATACATATTATATTAGATTTAATATTTATACCACTAGGCATTACAAGAAAATGTTTATATTTTTTTACTACTTAATGACTATATTATAATAAGTGTAGTTATCTGTCAAATCATTATACATCTGTTTAAGTACTGTCTTGCTGTTAGGATTTTTTTATAGGCAAGCGCACCCAAGTCTCTGTAGTATGAATAAAAGGTTGTCGAACCTCAGGGACTTGTGAGATAAACTTAGATTTCTATTATATTAATTGATGCTTATGAATTGAAAACTGGAATAATTACACATATTCAAATTTGATATAGATGATTTTCCAAGTTCAAGAAACCACAGAGTAATTTGACTTAAAGAAAAACAGATATAAGAAACAGTTGGGATTTGATTTCATCAATCTCCCTCCTATGCATTCCTATTGATTCTTTCTAAAAATTCCATTACCCATTGCCATTGAGTTCACTAAATTCATTCAAACCCAATCCCTTGGTATAAGAAATTCTAAGATATTTAACTAGACGAATGATCCCTCACTTCATTCAGTTTAATATCTTGCATTAAGAATCAGAACTTGATACAACTATTAAGTTCAAGACCATTCCTGGCTCTCAAAACTAATAGGTGATTCGTTCCAAGTCTGGGTTCAGAAAACGTTTTCCAACCAAATCCCAAACCCAAAATTAGAGATAAATGATCAGTTTATCAAAGCATTAAAAACAGGAACAAAATCACTAGCATAAAGTAATGGATGATATATATATTTGAATCAAAGAGAAATACATAGGAGTTTGATGATTACATCTATCCCAACCCTAGAGATTAGTTCTCCATTTTACAAGAAAATCACCAAATTACAAGTTGAGAGGTAGAAGAAGAAGAAGATCCTTTGAAGATTCGCGTCCCCACGAGCTCCAGAGTACTCTGTTTCTCTCCTCTCTCTGTTTTCTTTTTTCGTACAGCTTCCCCCCTTACCTCTCTGTTTTTTTCTTATATATTAAAACAGAGTGAACAAGAGAGAGACGAATCCACTCAGGGCCTTGAAACGGCTGAGCGGATTGGGAGTTCTTCACCATGAGGAAACCTCAAGGGCTGAGCGCCTGAGATCCGCTGAGCGCTTTAGAGGCAGAGAGCACCCCTTGTTCCTGGATGAAATCCGCTGAGCGGATGGGACTGGCTGAGCGGATTGGAGGCAGAGAGCACTCATTCTCCTCCAGGGGCCAATCCGTTGGGCGCTTTGAAGTGGCTGAGCGCCTTCAGTTTGGGAAGTTCTCTGGCCTGAATCTGCTGAACGCTTTAGAATGGCTGATCCATTCTTCTCCAGGTTTCAAAACCTACAAAATAAGCACCAAGTTGGATCAAAGGCTTCCTATTCCCTGTACTAACATTAATCAAAAGCACCTCTTTGATTCTAAGCATATATAGATCAAAATAATATCAGTATGTACACAAAATGTGCTAGATAAGTGTCTCAAGTGAGTATTAAATCAAACTAATTAGACACTTATCAGGTAGGAAGTGAGTTTTATTTTCTAAGTCTGTGGTGCTAAATATGTGAGTTGTTTTGGTTTAAGATTGTAGTGGGAAGCTTGAATGTGAAGTTGAGGTGTGAGTTTGGAAGATTTGAGGTATTTTTGTGGCCTTAGATATATTGATACACTATTGCTGTTTGGTATAGAGGATATTTTTGCTACAGTTTTGTTGTGCTAGTATGAGTACCGTATTAACAAATTTAAATTTTATGGTCTTCACAAAAGTTGTAGTCTTAGACGTTATCTTTCTAATGGAACTAGAATAAAGTAAAACGGAGGTCTAGAACTCCAGTTATAGTTATTTTGGTAATCAGAGGCTAGTTGTAAGCATTAAATATATCTGTTGTGATTTTTGAATTGTTAGCTAAGAAGAGGATCTATTCAGAATCTTATGTCTTCATAAGATTTATAACTTATTCTTTTATCTTTCTTTTGAGATAGAATTGAGATCATTGGACGAGTGTAACTCTCTAGGTGTCGTTTCTTGCCAGTTATTGAAGGGACATGTATGTTATCATGATGTTTTTGAGTTATTAGGCAATGCAAGGATAAAACTGATTTGGTTATGATAGCCTAAGGCATCGTCATATGGATTGAAAGGTTGTTTAAGGTTGTATGATGCTATATGTGGTAAGGTTGGTTCATATACATTGCTATGTGGAGTAAACGATGATGGATTCGTACATGATTAGGTATAGTATATACATGAATGTTTGAATTAGGTGTTTTAATATGATTTGATATGCATGTATATTGATATGAGGATAGATGATCTTATATATCAATTAGTGGGTGTTTGTGTGTTTAGTAAGATTGACCTTAGGATGTGATATCATCAAATTAGAGATGAGGATGCTAGACAGTTTTATGCTAGTTATCTAAGTGTGATTCTTGATTGTTTGAGGTGAGTGTTCTTGGCCCTGTAATTTCTAGCGGAGGTATAACGTAGATCTACCTAAGGTAGAAGTTATGCTTAAATGGGAGATACGTAAAGTCAATTAGTGAGGTTAAGAGTTTTCTTAGGATAATTTATAGGAGATTTACTGAGTAAATTTCTAAGATAGCAGTTCGAGGTTTAGGCTGCTATCATTTCACTCGCCTCTACTACAGGAATTGCTTTTGCTTTCTTTTCCTCTAGCTACTAAGATGTTTCAGTTCACTAAGTTTTCTTTTACCTACCCATGAATTCAACAGTAGTTTGAAAGGTTAACCTATATCGAGGATCCCCGGACCTATGCTTATTTTCAACTCCCCAAAGCATTTCGTCGCTTACTTCTCTAGTTTGCTTACTATTTGACTAGATTGACTAGGAAAGAGTTGCCTTTGTATGAGATAATAAATATGAGAGTAGGTTTCAAATTCTTAAGGAAAGATTGATTGGTGCACCATTATTAGCATTGGCCGATCTTAGTAAGCCTTTTATGGTATATAATTATTCTTCTAAGATAGGTTTGGACAGAGTGTTGATGCAAGCAGGAATAATAGTAGCTTATGCTTCTAGGAAATTGAGAATTCCTCCCAGTAAGCGCTTCTTTATTGTCATTAGCTTGACACTTCACTTAGTCATGGATCTTTGAGATGAATGACAGTGGTAAGTTTCTCAACCTCACCACCCAGATATGGCATAATTCTCTGACCATTCATCATCCAAGATCTTCTAGAATTTGGTTCTTCCAACTCCATTGCCCCAGAAGGTATAGCTGATTTCATCACAAAGGGGCCTGACCATTTGGACTTGAACTTTCCAGGGAATAATCTCAGCCTAGAATTTAACAATAATGCTTGTTGGCCTGGTTGGAAATTTCTCTGCACAATTTTCTTGTCATGGTAGGACTTCACCTTACTCTTGTAAATTTTTGAGGATTCATAAGCCTGCAAACGCATTTCTTCAAGTTCATGTAATTGAAGTTTCCTCTTTTCACTTGCAGTTTTCATATCAAATAAATTTAATGACTTCTCTACTGGTGTGGCTAATGAAAATTTTCTTTCAGATTCCAAACACACTTCATCCATCACATCCACTCTAAAACAATCTTTCTTGTCATTTGGGTGTTTCATAGCTTCAAAAATATTAAAATTCACCTCATCACCATGCACCCTGACCTTGAGTTTGCCATCATCAACATCTATAATGACCTTAGCAAAAAGAATTTTGTCATCACCACAAGTGGACACAAAACACATTAGATACTAATACGATATTTGTATGAAAGCACAACAGAAATCAAAAGAGAGAACTTAAAACTTACCTTGAATCAAAGAGAATGATGGTGTGTGTGAAAGAGAAGAAAGCGAGAGAAAATGAGAACACCAGGTTTGAAAGTGTTGGGAATGAAAGACAAATAAAGGGATAACTTATTTTCTGTTCTTGGATTGGTCTTTCTCAATTTTTTTTTTTTTTGAGGCGCTCAACCCTTTTTAGGCGCTCAGCCATTTGGGTACAGAGAGCATTATAAAGAAAAGCGCTGAGCGCTTTGAAAACGCTCAGCCATTTGATGCAGAAATCTCAACTAAAATGTTTTGCTGATATGAACGGTTGAGCGCCTTGAAAAGGCTGAGCCGTTTACCCCCTGTGAGGAAAATTTATCTACAAAGTAGACACTGCAACCAAACGGCTGAGCCGTTTTTAATGGCTGAGCCGTTTTGTCAGTTTTGTGAACTTACCTGGAAGAAGCACATTTTGTTCTCCTTTCACACTCCCACTTCTAGTTACCTTCAATAAACTATAAAAAGCATAACACAAGAGAAAAGAATGTTGAAGGAACAAAACATTTGATAGAATGCATCATCAAAACATCAAATCACAAACTCAACTCTTCAAAAGCATAACTACATATGTAAAGTATTAAACTAAAATGAAGATGAGAATTCAAACCAAAATGGCTGGGTTGCCTCCCAGTAAGCGCTTCTTTATTGTCATTAGCTTGACACTTCACTTAGTCATGGATCTTTGAGATGAATGACAGTGGTAAGTTTCTCAACCTCACCACCCAGATATGGCATAATTCTCTGACCATTCATCATCCAAGATCTTCTAGAATTTGGTTCTTCCAACTCCATTGCCCCAGAAGGTATTGAAATTGATAGAGTTGTACATCTATATAAGGTAGTGAGGTTGCATAGGAATTAGAAGGCAAAATGCGAGGAGTCTACCATTGCAAAAATTTCGGGGACGAAATTTCATAAAGGAGGGGAGAATTGTAACAACCCAATTTCCACTAGGCCAAAAGCCCAGTTAAGGTGGTTTAGTAGCCCGGAACGGGCCGTTCCAAATTACTAAATAGACCTACTTTTGGTAGCCCAGAATGGGCTGTTCCGGATTTGGAACGGGCCGTTCCAAACCATTAAAATTGCCTATGATTCTTAGTTGGGAACGGGCCATTTCCAACTGGAACGGGCCGTTCCAGATTTTAGAAATGGCCTTTGAACCTTATTGAGAACGGGTCGTTCTGGTTTCAGAACGGGCCGTTCCAAAATATGACCGTTGAGAGTTTTAATGCAAACCCCAAAACGGGTCGTTCTGGTTTGAGAACGTGCCGTTATGGATGTGAATTTTACACATGACGTGAGATTTCAGAACGGGCCGTTTCGGATTTGAAACAGGCCGTTCCGCGATTCCTGATGCCTATAAATTGAGTGCTCTACCACTCCTAAAATCATATTTTTTAGTTCTGACTTCTTTTAGTTCTGATTTCTTTCTTCTACATTCTCTTATTTCTCTTCTACACTCTCTAAAGATCGAGGGGCACTTAGAGAAGGAGACCAAGAGATCTCTGTTTTAGTTTCAACCGCTGTTTATCCAGGTACGGGAAAAAAGAGGATTATTTATATGTAGAGTTACATGATAGAATTGGGTAGAGAAAGAACCCTTAGGATTATGAGTAATTTTATAATTATTTCTGTTTGAAGAATTATTGATCTTATGTGATTCTATATGTATTTAGGACTATGAATATATGATTAATTTGTAAAAATGATGCTCTGGGAGAGAGAACGAAATTATAGAAAAGTGCCTGTAAGTTAGGTTGTGGAAAATTGGATTATTTCTGTTTGAGAAATTGATGATCCCATTAGATTCTGTATGTGTTGAGGATTAGAAATATATATTTATTTTGTAAGAATGATGATCTAGGAGAGAGAACAAAATTGTAAAAAAGTGCTTTTGAGTTAGGATTTGGAACAATTGCGGCTTTTACTATTTATGTTTAGATTATATTAAATTGGTAATTCCATTGATTATTATATTAATTTATGAATGTATTGTTATATTATTTGTTAAGAATTGATGATCTAGATGTGAATTGCTTGAAGGGTGTGTAAACCCTTATTTTGTTGGACTTATCTGTTGTGTATGTGATATGAATTTGAGTTGTGAAATGAGATGTGTGGAATGTGAATGAGATGTGGTTGTGGATCCTCATACTGATGACCAGGGGTGAGCACGGCCCTAGACTGTTAAAAAGGTAGCGTGACCTTGGCACAGTGTTATGTCAGGGGTGAGCACGGCCTTAGGCTACTAAAAGGGTAGCGTGACCTTGACACAGTGTGATGTCAGGGGTGAGCACGACCCTAGGCTGAAGGGTAGCGTGACCTGGACATAGTAAGATTTGTGATGATTGTGATTGTGATGTTATTGTGGTTCCTCACACATATGACCAGGGATGAGACGAACCTTGAGTAAGTGATGCTACAAGGACGAGCGTGCCCCTGACATGGTGTGAGATGAGTGAGGCAATTAATACGTATCACTTATGTCTAGAGTGGCACGACCTTGAGGTGGCGTGACCATTGGCATAATGTTAATTGCAAGACTTGTGATAGACTGGTGTGATTGTGAAATTGTGATGTGAATATGATGCATGATTGATAGAATTAGAATGTATGGATATGTTTGTAAAGACTTCAATAATTGATGAGATTATGTTGTGTTTTTCCTTGTGTGCTTTATATATAAATATTTTCTTTTCTCACCGTACAATTTGTGGATGTTTTAGGTGAGGAAGATCCGGCTTTGAGTGACATCTAGAATGTCAACTGTTGAGTTGTGGGTGTGCTCTGATATTGTGACATCGAGGCAGAAAATTCTAGGATATGGAATTTTTATATGGATTTAGAGTTGTATTTATTATTTTTAAAAATAATTTGTAAACTCTCAAGTTTTACTTTATAAATTTCATTTTTAATTATTTTGGTTATTTGTGAAGATTTTATGTGAACCCTTTTTACCAACGTTGAATATTTTATTCTTTAGTTTATTTACAAGATTTATTTATATATGTGTTGGGGTAGTTAGGGTGTCACAATTTCTACAATAGTAGAGAATTTTAATGGATAACGATTAAAATATTACACGTGGATGATGATATTGAATCGTAATCTAATATTATTGTTTGAGTATGGGGATATAAAAAATATGATGTAAAATTTAATGGATTATAAACAAGTCTCTAATCTCATAGACTAAATTACAAATATATAGAATAATGAAGGATCCAAATTTTTTTTTTATTTAAAGACCTCATTAAAAATTCTATAAAAAAAAATCAGAGACCAAACAATATATATTAAATTTAAACCATGGATTTATTTTTATGTTATAAATATTTACATTTGATATATATATATATATATATATATATATATATCTTTTTATATA